GTTTTTTTGGATTTCGGAAATAAACATAAACAAGCTTATCAGGTGAAAACAGTGAGGGGGCAGTGAAAGTGAAAACCGAAAATACAATATGATCTGACTTTCTCTTGTGTACATCTTAGAATGTAACATGGGTAAAGGCTTAAATAAAAGGTCCTTTGTTCAGAAGTTGTTTCGTTTATTATCAGTTTGTCAGTCTATGAAGTACTAGTATGCATTTCATTCTACTGCATTTCTATGCCATCTTGGTTATTCAGTGGAATATGCAAGAAGTAATTTACAAACGGAGATGAATAACAGTTAAAATTAACACATATTCATCCACTTGTAAATTTAATTAATTCTGTTGAGTAGACGTTTTATCGACTTAAGAGCAGTTTGGACCTCCAATCTCTCTTATTTTACTGGAAAGGAAAACTGATGTTTGAAGAAAAAACACTTTTTCGCATAACGAAAACATAAATTGGTGTCCCATCAAGAACTTTGCATTGTCAAACCACGTAAATCTATGCTATATGTAATATCTTCATACAATGAAACTAAATAAAATATTTCTGTATTGCCAACTTACTTTCGTTTACTATTCATTTGAATAAAAGTAAGAATTTCCAAAAATAAATTTGAGAACAGACTCTATTCTCCAACAACAGCCTCGTCAAAAACACTGAAAGTCTTCAATTCACCATTTAACTAAAAGGCTTCATTATGACAAGAAGTTTAAGTACGACGTCTTGTGCCCTGAGTTAACTAAACAGTTGATAAAACCGTGAGTACGCCATTTAGCTTTCACTGTACAAAATACCAGTTTTTTGGTGAAAATCTTCCCATATTTATAAAAAATTCGGTGCTGTGGTTTATTTATTCACTGAAATTTACGCATTGGAGTTTCTGAATAGACTAGAACAGTTATTATATAGCTATGTCTGAGATGGAGCAACACTTAAAAAGTATTAAGAAATATTAAATGCAAAGCACAAACCAAAAACCGTCAAGTGGGACCCGAATGGAATGCGATGGTAGTAAAACAAGTAGAAAATAGCTGCAGAGAGTTAATAGGAAAGTACACACTCATCTGAAAACGAACGTAGACGAAATGAATGACAAGGAAAATAACAATTATTCATAACGCGAATAAACTCTTACTTTCTCCCAAGGCTAACATAAAAGAATTATGAACGACATTCTGATATGAAAATAAGCTTTTTTGAAAACTGAAGCGAAGAATCAGTGAAAAAATGCACGACTTCAGAGATCTATTGATAATTTATTTCAGTTTATGATCTGTCATATATATTAGTTTCATCAATATATTTCACATTAGTTTGTTGTCCATGTGTCTACTGATTCTACGTGTAATCACTGAAACCGAATTCTTTCATTCAATATAGGTGTATGTAATTAAGTTAGAGAACCTGGTTTAACAAATTTCTTCAAAATAACAAGGTTTCTTTCACGACAAAACAATCCAACAGTTTGTTATCCTCTGGATTATTTACCCGAGATTCTCCTAACGTTTATACGATATTCCAGTATCAATGTTTCCGGGATTTATCTCATTCCAAACAAGTAACCCAAGAATGTAGTCAAAATCGGACAAGTTGACTCTGACATTCAACCATTTTCATACTTAATAATGTGTGCTTGAATGCTATTAAATTAACCATAATGATACACCATCTATACTTGAAGCAGATGGAATTCACAGAGCTGATTCGCTCAGATTTGGTATGAAAATGTTATTACTTAAAATAGAATGATTGCAATTGAATAAAAATACGTTAACTGACCTTCTCTGTACCCTAATTGAAATTATAAAGGTTTTGCAAAACCTGTCAGGTATGAAGGAATCTATTGCAAAAGAATGCAGGGAACTTGAACTAACGAAATTTATCGAAATTTCATCAACATGCAACGACGTTTCATTGCACAACTGCAAAAGCTCAATGAGGGTTTCACTCGTTGATCAGTCATGCACAATTTTAATGAGTACATTTTATATTGCATTTTTCATACAAGTATCTCTGTCTTGCTGATGCAATGAAATCAGGAATAACAGTAGCTGTTCATTAGATCTTAATACCTATTTTAAATCCTCTAGTGGAATAGTGTTCTATTTTCTTACAAGAAAGCCAAATATGAAAATGCGTCATTTGGAAATGGTGAATTATTACCTTATTTGGGCCATACATATATGAGTTCAGGATATAATCAGGGTCAGACAAAGTTATATCTGTTACAGATCCAACTCATTATTTATTTCTATGTATTCGATGACGAAATGAATGCAAACTGCATGCGCTTATCGAAATATGTGGAATTCAGATTAGCTTAGTAGATATAGGTTTTAAATAATGTAACCCTGCCTTGCCATCCTGTCCCTAAGCAGTGAAAGAAGAAGGTTTAAAAAACCTTCACTTCAAATTAGCAGAAATGTAACCGTTGAAACTTAAAATACCGAAGGAAAAATTGTTCTGAGGTGACAATGGGAAGACACCAAAAATTTGAAGCAATCTGTAGTCGAAAGTCTTTAAGGAGTGAATTGGCGTATCTACCCTCTTTGATGAAAGCAGATTGAACATGAAGTCAAGGATTGATGTTAAAATGTTTGAAATCGGCGAGGTTGTCAAGATTGTTGAGGAAATGTTGAAAATATATTTTAAGAGTAATGGGGTGCTGTGAGAGCATATGAAATGGACGCTGACTGTAGAGGCAATAACAGATTTATTATCAACTAGACAACAGTCAAAAGCACAAGAGGAGTATAGGCGTTACACTGTCACCAGCAGAATTGAAAGCGCTGACATTCTAGCAATCAACCCATTTGGGATTGTGGTAGGTCGATTCACATTATTAGGAATGAGAGTTACATTTATAAAATACTATGGACCTGCAAATAGCGGATACCAGGGAAATGGGAAGGACTTCTAAAGAAAACTACGGACCCCACATACATACGATTTGTAAATTATAACGAGTGGTATGCATGCAAAGCAAAATGGAAGCTGACAATATGGAAAGAGAACTAATTATGTACTGAAAGGTGCTTGGTAAGAAAAAAGAATTCTATGTAAAATTTCGCAACCGCATTAATGGCTGGGGATAGGAGGAGGCGTACACAAGTGCAAGGACACCTAAAAGGTGACACTGTTTTCACCAAATATGGTTATTGTAGACCGGGTAAATTGCATCTAAGTCAGAGGAAAGTGAAGATGCAGACTACTGGAAACACCAACCCACGGAAACGTAAGTGCACATGGGTGCAAAGCTGTTTAGATACCTTAGCGGGGAAAAAGAAGCAATAAAGTAAACACGTACTAAGAATAGTAAATAACAGTGAAGCCAATTACAATCTACGATGCGCTGAACAAAAGTGAGCAAGAGTGCAACGAAGGACAAAAGGCTATTTTATGATACATTTTTAATTGATGCAGAGCACCCTGCACATTGAAAAGCCTTAACAAAACTATATCAGATATCAGGGTAGCTATCGGAACAGAAACCGACGCAAATGAAACAGGAAAAAGATATTAAAATCATGCTATCCAGACAGCAAATCGCCTCAAAATCTCTTGAATACATCATCACCTGCAAGTCGTTCGGAAATACTATCAAATGACAAGAACCAACAGTGGACACAAACCCTCTGGCAGAAAAAGAAGGAAACGAACAAGTATAGCAGCAATATCCTTTTGGCGATTACACTATCTCATTTATATATATATATAAATATGTATATATATACGATTATTGTATACTTCCACAGAAAAGAGAAGATTGAAATTCTTAATCATTTTCAACGAAATTAGTCAGGATTTGAAATTAGTTTTCTTAACACAAACAGGTGTGAAGTGAATGACCATGGAGACTAGTTGAAATAATAGTTTTGCATAAGTGAAATTAAATCAATGAAGGGAATGAAAGAACAAAACTGAAAACTAAGTACCCTTACTCATCTAGATCAATGGCAAATTTTGAGGTTTAGCTAGTTTCTTTTAAAAATATAGCTACAGATTTTCTATGCATACGGCGAGGGCCTACGCAATACGAATAAGCCATGTGCAGATCCAATAGCAGCACTACGCATTAACATCAGACAGACTGCAAAATGGTGGTCATCAAATTTGAAGAAGACCTGGTAAGCCTTGAGCACAGATCAGTTTGGAAGCCGATTCAACATGGTGGAATGCGGTACCACAAATCTTTGAAAGTCTTTTTCAACAACATTATGATGGATCTACTTGCCAAGTAGTTCACAACATAAAGTTTATGAAATGTTTGTATAGAAGGCAGGGAAAGAAAAAAGTAGTATAACACCATCGATGGTTTTCTTGACAGTGGAACACCCGATTACACAGTAGAAAAAGGTGAGTAGGCGTTTGCTGTACCAGTGAAAGGTCTTTGGAAAAGTTCAAGGTCCGCGAGTAATTTTTTTGCTGTACTTATCTCGTCAGCATTGTTCAACTGCAAGTGGCACGGATGGGGATGTCTACCCTTAATCAATGTAATAAAACAGAAATTCACTACTCTGAAATCAGTAAAGAGATACACCGCACCTACCAAAAAGAAAGAGATGCAAAATTCATGACTGTTGTCGAATTAATGACCCTGAGTGTTTTATGAAGTGCGCACCAAGAAAAAATTCTCTGTAGACTCGTTACCATAGCTAACAGTTCTTTTTTCTTAAAACTAAAGATAAACCGGATCGCAGCGCACGAAGCAAGTCTGGCAGAAGACAAAAACCACTTCGAAAGAACTGGCCAACGATTACTCCTGAGGAAATATTGATAGAGTAGAAAAATGTTAAGAAGATATTCATGAACCAGTACGTTGATTAAAACCTGCATGTGATGCGATGGTTTTGAATCCATAGTAGACATAGAGAAAATCAAATAATGAGTATATAAAAGCTTGTTAGCCATCCGAAAACAGAGTTGAAAAAGACTATTTAAGAAAAATAACAAGAGAGATTACAATATGAACAACAAAAATGATAAAATGACTCACATCTAGTAAGGTCTAAAGAGAAAACGACGAATATGAAACATACAGAGTTGTTGAAATGGGCTGATGCTAAAAGCGGTGAAAATGAAACTGAGAACAAAAAGAACAAATACTACCACTAGAGGCCCCATTCATCTTGCAAAACGAGCTCGCCTACATACCGGAATGTCCTGAGTTCGAAACCCGGTAAGCTGGCACTATTGAAGACTCCAGTGGTACTCCCAGGTGTTTCAATGGTATACTCGTGACTAAATCCTGCAACCAATGAAATCAAATCCGTTCGAACCAGCACTTGTATAATAAGTTTTTATTTCGCTTGAAGTTGTGTTTCATGATCTATTCATTGATGAATTACACGATTATTTACAGTCAATCAAAATACATGTAAATAATTAAACTGGATTCAAATATTGAATGTTGTTGTATGGAAATCAAAATACTTCGCGGAAATAAGAAATCTCAATACGAAATTAGCTAAGTACATTTCTGTGACATAACAAGGAGAATGATATTCGTTGGGAATCAACAGTTGGAGTTGTCTGCCACAGGATTGCGTACTCCAGATACTCCCTGCACTTATATAGATTTTTACGAAATAAGTCTTCTCAGCATTCAGACAAATAGCTTAACAATGCAATGAACATCGAGAAATTGAACTCTGATACAGATCCACTTCTACATTTTACTTTACCCACCTGAATGCAGAAAGAATCTATGTGGCATTAATGTTAACTCTACTAACACATTATCCATAATCATATCTAATATGAATAAAACACATATTTCCGGTTCGTTTATCTCTGGAAATCGAAAACTTGTCATCTGTGGATTTCAAAGAGTAATTGAAGCAGTCTTCCTTTTCTAAAAATCAAAGCTAATCATATGCATGATTTTCATATCACTCACCAGGATAATCCCCTGCGTAGAATAATATTAATCATAAAAGATGGTAGTGTTTTAGCAGTTATTCTGAGGAAGTGAGTCAGATAAAACTAAATTGATTTCTAAAAATGTAGGACCATATTCCATCGAAAGAAATCGACTCCACCGAGGATTTCACTGTTTGCTAAGTCGAATTTAACTTCAACGGAGGTATTTGCAGTGTGTTTTACCAATATTTTCAGATTTGATATGCCGTTAGCAAAAGTCTCACGGATAACTATGTATTGTGACACTTCTGAAATCTAGTGATGATTTTCTTAGTGGCTTTTCTGTTAGGTATTACTTTCATCGATGCATTTCCCAATATCTTATGACAATACGTACATTGATTTGACGTGTAAATGCTGAAAATGAATTCAAATATCAGGTATTGATCTCTAAAAATTGGTACTGGTTGCACATTCCAGAAATCTATATTCTAAATCAGTCAAATAAATTTCTTTTACATGTGAAGTCGAATGGTGTTCATCTTGAAACAGCAAAGCAAGATGTTGTTATTTTGTGGGTCGTACACCCGTGATATTCACTGCATTCGTATGCTATTCCAATATTAATATTTTCAGTTTTTTTTTTTCGATACAAATAACTGCCTGAGGCCATCGCCATAGAACCAAACGATTCTCACATGTGAACTTCTGTCTTTTAATTTAGGTTTTTGAAGGCTGAATGAATATATGCGGCAAATACGACTACAAACATGATGTGATATCTATAATCGGATACAGTGAAATCGAATTGTCAGTTTCAGACTGCACTTCCTCCATTGAGTCAAATATTTACAATATAGGCATCCTTAAGTTTTTTGAAGGAAGCATATACATGTAGGAAATACAAGCTGTCTTAATGCATCAAAGTATCCGATCTCACCAATTATATCATCTAAGGATAACGAATATAAAATTTATATATTGAGCACTTTGTCAGAAAAATAATGAGAACATAAAGCAGTGAAAATGAGTAGGTTTAAATTTAATTATTTTCACAAATATGAGGCAACTGCCTATTCCATCAATTCGGAAGTCTAATGATGATTAATTTTAGTTGTTACTCTGTCGTATATTATTTTCTTCGAAACATCTCGTACTGCTTCGCTGTCAATATGTCTACAGACTTGACGTGTAAATAATGGAACTGAATTAAAATGCTTAAGTTTCGTGTCTGAAAGTTATTACCGTTTGTACACCTCGGAAATCTGAATTTGATGTCAAATAAATGTACTTATCTAAAACAATACAGTGAATGGTGTTCTTTGAGAATCAACAATCCAAGAAATTGTTTACCTCAGCAATGGCATACCTCAGTTACTCCCTTCACCTATATATATATATATATATATATATATATATATTGATACGACATCAGAGTTTGCAGTATTCTAAATTTTTCATTTTTTTACTTCGTACATCTCAATGGAGTAAAAATCGGTGTTGCACATAAAATAATCATAATAACGTAGTATCCTTGATTGTGATTACAAAAACACATTTCATGATTGCTTATTTTAGGCTTTTACATGTTTATATTCTACGGATTTCAAAACAGAACCTTAGAATTGTGAGATATAGTTTAGAAGCTAACAAGTAACATCCAGTGTTATTATTCTTACGTGCTAACGAATCTGAGTGAAAAAAATATCATTTCAGAAGACGATGCAGTTTATTAGAAATGATACTGATAAGGTGAAACAGTGAAAACAAATTAGTCAAAATTTAATTACTTACACGAATTTGAGGTAACTGTCCATTCAACCACTTCGGAAATCTAGTGAGCATTTATTTTAGTGTTTAGATAGTTGGAGGCGATCGGCAGGAAGCCTTGGACTTACGTTTCGTGCTAGCTGGGACTTGTCAGCGAGGCGTACCTGAAACCTTGAAGGAACTCATGTCCCTTCTGAGATTCAAACCTGAGTCACCTAGTGCTGCAGTCATAGACATTACCACTGAGCTATTTGGGCTCGCGATTGATCTCCTAAAGGACTGCAGTGGGTATTTTAATTGGACATTAATAACTAGTGTGACGTGTCTAGTCCTTTCTTTGGTGCAGACTGAATTCTACCAGTCAGGTTTGCGATGTGACTACCATTCTAAGAAGCTCGCCATCACGGTGTTTGTAAATTATTTTTATTGATACATTTCCCAAGGTCTTCAGTCAGTATTTCTATTGATTCTACATATAAATAGTGCAAGTGGGATCGAATAATTCATTCTGATGTTTGGAAATTCTTACTATTTGAACATTTCAGAAAATGAATTCGGAATCCGTTAAACTCATTTCTCCAACATAAGGTGAATGTCGTTCTTCGTGAAACTAAAATCCAACAAGTTTTCATCATTGGGATCATGTACACAATATACTTCCCTCACATACACAACATTTCAATATCAAAATATCCAGGATATTTCTCCTTCCAAATTAATCGCTGCATAATGCAACTGAATTCGGAAGGAGTAAATTGTGATACAGATCTAATTCTGAATTTCAGTCAACTCATACTACAGAAATGACACATTATCCGAAAGTCAGACTCAATAAGGTAAAGAACATATACTTTTCATTTGTTTATTCATAAGCCAGTAAATTCATTTAATCTCTAGAAATCCAAGCTTCATCAACGAAGTAAGTATCTATCAATAACAGAATCTTGTGAAACAAATATTATATGTTTTACGCTTACCTGGGTGCGGAACTGTTTATGTCATACACATACAATGTACAAAGTGAAATCCTGATTAATCGATGAAAGCGGATTCAGTACCACAATATTGCGTTAAAATTTACACAAGCCTATCAACTTTATGCACTGCAACTTTAAATACTGCTGTGGCACAGTTTCTATCTTCAGTTACATTTGTCTTTCATCCATTCATCTTAAATGATTTTGTTGACAATATTACTTAAGTTTTTGCGTGCTAATAACAATAGTGAGTTCATTATCTAGTGTTGGTTTCTGAAACCACGTCCTCTTAAGGCATTTTAGATGTCTGAATTCGGAGTGAATTATATACATATCTCGAGTGTAACGAGGCGAATTATGTCGCCAATTCTACTAATTAGCTAGTTAACCACTCGGTTTGAAGCCTGAAAAAGGAGGGAAAATTGGTTTTGGGACAAGCCACCCTGCCCAGAAAGTCAATCCAATCGTTAAAGAAACTTTGAGCAAAACAAAAATACAAAAACCAAATCTATTCTTCGATGGAATCGAAAAAATGGAATAAGGCCAGCTTGTGAAATCCTTCGAGAAGCTAGTTAGCTGATTTGTTCTCTTTTAATGAAAGCATAAATGAGGATAGAAATACGGAATGTTCACATAATGTACGAGGCTGGGAAGGCTGAGATGATACTGCACAGAAGTACTTGGAATCTGAGAGAATAAGTGGAACAGATGTGGAATATCCGAAGTTTTAACTTTATAGTCAACAATCTGCTCCCTTTACTGAGACGACAACCAGGAGCAGACTGAAGAGTTGGCTATCATGATGTCACCCATAGCAGGCCGAGCTCTTATGTCGTCTGAAACAACCTCCTCCAGTCTTATGAAAACAAGATTCAAGTTAAAAGGAAAGAAGGTTACAATCATCAAGTGCTACACACCTACAAACAATCCAGAATGAGAGAAGAAGGAACATTTCTATAAACAATGCTACTAGAAGCAACATAAAAGTCCTATTGGGACATATGAATGCCATAATGAGAGCACAAATCACAGGAAGAGGAATAATCATGGGTACAATTGCTGTCGGAGAATGAATGACTATGGTAAACTCTTCACAGACAACTGAGCCTTCACTGACTAGGTTATTGGAGGTAGCGTGTAAAAGCATAAGGATATGCACAAGACAACATGAATTTCATACCAAAAATCAGACAGACTTCATCTCAGTCTTAGGGATACGCAGACACAGTGAGCTGGACAGAGAATTGAGAAGTGAAACACATGTGATTTCGGACCGATACCTAATTCAGGTAACCTTCACTATATTGTTGAACGACTTCAAATCGACTGAAGATAGACCACAATTCACTTTCAACATTCAGAAACTGAAATAGAGTAGCTACCTTGCCAGGCTACCAAAGGACGCGATATGCGCCTCTGTAGGATCTCGGGGAGAATATTGTTCTCGTCCATTCCAAGTTAAATTCTAATTCGCATCATCCTGGACAGACAAAAACATGCATTTGGTTCAGGTGCAAATCATGTATAGATCAAATCGCAACTCGATTTGTCATAACCGAAGAAGACACTGAAAAGCAGCAAAATCGTTGCCTAAGTTTCATTGACTAACAACAACAACAACCATCATTCTTCGTCAACGGAACAAATCTGAGAGAAGTTACTTACTCCACTTCACACCACAGTTTAAATTACAAACGACACCAAAAATGAGGATGTCAAAGCCAGAAATGGAAAGGTAAGATAGACACTCATCACTGTGAAATCAGTTTGAAAGTCTTCTGAACTCAGCATTAATAATACAATCGGATTTTCAACACCAATATTAAGTCACTTCTTCTATACAGGTCAGAAACTTGAAATGTCACGAAAGACATTTCCAGCAGGTTGTAGCAGAGTTCTGTCAAGAACTTCTTCTACTGTTCTATACTCAAAATCAGATGATAAGTCAGAAAGAATTAGCAACAAGAAACTTTGGTGGCGAACCAACCTATTTTTCAACAAATTACCAAAGTTGGGGATGGTTTGGATATACAGTGAGGAAAACATAGGTTGATATCGCCCACCAGACAAACCTTCGAATGAAAGCCGAGTAAAAACTGACAGTTTAAGCGTTTGTCTGGGCATAAAGTAGAGTAGATCGTGCGAGAAGAGGTTGAAAGTTTATGAACAGCCGTGAATCCAGCTAAAGTGGACTGTAGAGAACAGGGCTAAATGTTGATGTGCAGTTGAAGCCCTGTGTTCTACTTGAGACCCAAGGGAATTAAAATACAGCGTAACTAGGCTACTGGCGTCCTTCGTCAAACGACATTCAAGCATGTTATGCTCAGAATCCTTTACCGGAGATACTCGGTGCACATACACAACATTCCAATATCAACGATTCCTGTATTTATCTCTCCCAAAGCAAGTAACTGCTTAATGCAGCTGAAAACGAACAAAGTCAATTCTGATACAAATCTACTTCTGAATTTCAATCAACGGGTGTCATTCAAAAATAAATCAATTTTGCACATAGAACTGCAAAAAAGACACATTATCTGAAAGTCAGACTCCATAAGTTAAAGAACACACATTTGTCAGTTGTTTAAGGTGAAGCCAGTTAATTCATTTAATCTTTGAATATAAAATGCGATCATAGAAGTAATACTCTTTCATAAATATAGTGTAACCAGTCTAATAAAATCAAACAGGCTCACGTTTTCTACTCGCTGAAATTTATAAATATTTTGATGTTTGTTACACGGCGTATTAGAAAATAAGGTGTCTGTATGATGCGGTTCTAATGAAGCAACTTCAAAAGCTTTGATTTTTGTTGTCGTTAAGATGAGAGTAATTTCTACCAATAGATTAACCGTATTCGACAGTTGTTTCGTCCTAGTTTGGGGCTCTTCATCAGTACGCATCCGCCTGAGTTACAAGGTGAGAAGGTCCTGGGTTCGACCTCGGTGGGTGCGTACTGATGAAGAGTCCCAAACACCTGTCTAGTACTCCCAGGTTTTCCAATGCTTCTGTTACCAATGTCAGCTCATGATAAAATCCTGTAACCAATCAAAACCCTATAAACCAATACTTGAAGATTTACCGTATTCATTTGAAATTGTTCTTGTGATCCGATGTGCTTACAATGAAACCGAATACAAATATTCAGTGTTGGTGTCTGAATATAAGTATTTCAGAAATCTGAATTTGAAATCAGTTAATTGCACTTCACAAACCTCACTAGGCTGATAATTTTCGCCATTAAGAAACGATCTTTTAAGTTCTGATCATTGAGATCTTGTGTTCGAGATATTTCCTCGGTATACACTATCAATCGTTCAGGTATTTGTTTCATTCCAAAGAAATTTCTGCATGATTAGATCACCTTGAGACAAATCCGGTTGTCGCATAGATTCACTGCTACATCAATAATTTTATGCACCTAAATTAAAGATGAGTCTGTTTTGCACTTGGAATGCGCATATTGACAAAACAGGCTATGAAGAACTCATAACCTGCGTATTTTAAAGTGGTAAGCAAAAAGGTTTCCTTTTTTTAAAATTCTAAAGCCAATCAGATGCATAAATTTTGTATTGCTCACCGTAAACATCATCTGAGCGAAAAAGTATTTTTTGGGTATTAGAAGTGATACTGACAAGGTGAGGCAATGAAACAAAGTCAGTCTAAACTCAATTAATCTACATAAATTTAAGGCAATATTTCATTGCCCAACAAATCTCCACTGAGTATTTTACTGACTGCCCAGTTATATTTAAATTCTGTCAAGATATTTAAAATAATTTTTTTAAATCACCTGTGTTCTGATGTGATATGTCCATGGCAAAACTTTCATGGGTAACTTTGTAATGCACAACATCTACAATGTAGTGATTTTTTAGTGACTGTTCTGTTGGATATTAATTTCATCAATACTTTTTTCATTATCTTTCCTCGATGCATCTACT